AATCCCAAACAATTAAACAGAAACAGCACCCGCATACGAATGACTATGGGAACGATGCACGTGTGTCAGGGCACGCCGCCGCCGCCACCTCCTTTCCTTCCGTCTCATCCTCTCATTCTCTCTTCTTTCCCTCTTCTCTTTTTTCTATCTTTATACAGACGACCTCTCTCTTTCTTTCCTACACTTGTAGCACAGACGTGCCCAACGCTGAGCACCCCATAGGGGCACCGCCACGCTGGATGCGCCGCGCACTCCTACTTGTACTCCCCCTCCAACACTCGGGATCGACCGCGGAGCCACCTGTGGTAACCCGGCTTTGTCTGAAGGTGACGTGGCACTTCCACATGACCCGTTCACACATGTATATAAACTAAGCCGAAGCAGGACCGAAGAAGTAACCTTCTTCTCATTTCCTGCTTCAGGCAAGTACCCTAGTTTAGTCTAGCTTCCCACCCTAATAACAATACATTTCCCGCTTCAGCCTAAGAAGCCACACAGGGACGTAAGCCCGAGTGAGGGCTGCCCACTATACAGTCTTACCGCCCCGCCGCCGTCCGGGCCGCTAGCGCCGAGCGCTACGCTGCTACCTCTGCCTCCCTCGAGCCGTCCCTGATAACGTGATTACCGAATGCATGCCCGAACTTTTGCTAACTCGACAAATACCAGGAAATAGAACACAACTTTAGTACCATTGGAAAGGTGGGAATAAATGAAAATTTATGATACCAAGAACATGAGAAACCATCCAGAAATGAATGAGATACAAGGACATGAAGTTAGAAACCTGAAAACGCGTGCGAAAACAGCTTCAAGAGGTCCAGAGCCCTAAATAAAATACATAAAAATATGATATCTTCGAGGACGACCTACTATAACAACGAACAACACATATGGAGGATTAGGATGTGATAATACAAAGGGGAATCAAGGAAGATGAAAAACCACTAAACTACGACGGACCATGGTGGGAATTTTAGGGAACGATATTCTAATGAAGTGGAGAGCTATAATACATTTGTGTCAGGGACGCGTCCGGGGTCGAGAGGGCCCGGGGGTAATGCCCGGCACTGAGGCCGTCGCGGGGTGTGGAGCGGGCGTGCGTACTGGCGGGCCCGATCCGGGACAGTGGTCCCTGGCCACTCAGACTGAAGTGGAGAATGTGTTATTATTATTAAAGAGGAAAACTATACTACTTACCTGAAGTGGAGAATGTGAGAAGAAGGTTACTTCTTCGGTTCCCACTTCAGGTACATTTATGTACATGCGGCTTGAGTCACATGACAGGTGCCACGTCATCCTCGGAGGCAGCCGCAGGCATCCGGGTGTCCCCGTGGGGGATCCCGAGAGCGTCCGCTACATGCGCGCGTGCTGGGCACAGCGGGAGGCCGTCCGGGGTGTGTGGGCCGGACGGGTCAATAGTACATCGATACAAGGGAAGGTGGTCCGTGTAGATAGAAAGAAATAAACAGGAAGAGGAACATGAGAAGAATGAAATAAAGAGAGGGGAAAGAAAAGGGAAAAGAGGGGGAGGAGAGGGAGGAAGGAGGGGGGAGGGGGATAGACAGCGGGGAGCGGGTGTGGTGTGGCCGGGTGGGCCCGGGTGGGCCCGGGTCAGGCGGGTGTGCCCTGACAATTTGTTTGAGTAATTCTTGACTACTAGTAACTTTTTCTTTTGGTTTTAAACCTGAATAATTCACTCATTTACCATTTCAAGTCTCATTTTAACTAAATGTCACTGAATAAAAATGGAATAAATCAGCTGAAGGTCTCAGCGCAGCCGTACACATAGTAATGCGAAGTTTGAATTCAGAATCACCGAGTCATAGCGAATTTAATGGTAAATATGAGGAATTTGAAATAGGAAACTGTGACAAATGCAGTGCAGTCAAGTTCTAATTAACCATTAAAATAGCTTAGGCGAGGAAGGACAATAAGGATTCTAGGCGCAGTCTGACCGCAGTAGAGCCGCAGTTCAGTGCAGCTGAGTGCAGTAGAACTATAGCATGAAAATTTCATTTTTTATTCAGTTTGAGAAAAATACACTGTAAATAAATCCTGTAAATACGAGGTAGAGCGTGAAAAAGGAAGGCAACCCAAGGAGTATAAAAGGGAGACCCTTTCTGCGACTTTTTGCCCCCCTGTCAGGGACGCGTCCAGGGTCGAGAGGGCCCGGGGGTAGTATCCAGCACTGAGGCCGTTGCGGGGTGTGGAGCGGGCGTGCATACTGGCGGGCCCGATCCGGGACAGTGGTCCCTGGCCACTCAGACTGAAGTGGAGAATGTGTTATTATTATTAAAGGGGAAAACTATACTACTTACCTGAAGTGGAGAATGTGAGAAGAAGGTTACTTCTTCGGTTCCCACTTCAGGTACATTTATGTACATGCGGCTTGAGTCACATGACAGGTGCCACGTCATCCTCGGAGGCAGCCGCAGGCATCCAGGTGTCCCTGTGGGGGATCCCGAGAGCGTCCGCTGCATGCGCACGTGCTGGGCACAGCGGGAAGCCATCCGGGGTGTGTGGGCCGGACGGGTCAATGGTACATCGATACAAAGGAAGGTGGTCCATGTAGATAGAAAGAAATAAACAGGAAGAGGAAGATGAGAAGAATGAAATAAAGAAAGGGGAAAGAAGAGGGAAAAGAAAGGGGAGGAGAGGGAGGAAGGAGGGGGGAGGGGATAGACAGCGGGGAGCGGGTGTGGTGTGGCTGGGTGGGCCCGGGTGGGCCCGGGTCAGGCGGGTGTGCCCTGACACCCCCTCAGAGAAGTAAGAAAATAGAGTATTATTTTTCTCAAGCATTTCTGGTTGTCACTCCAGTGCGAAAAAGTGATATACAGTTAATATTGCCACTGTAGTAAAAGGCAGCAATTAAGGAGAGAAATATTAAGTAGATATTTCAACAGGAGAGCTGGTTAACACTCCAGATTTCAAAGTGTAAACACAAAACAGTTATTTTGCTACTGTTAAAACAAGCAATAAAATAAGACAAAAATAAAACAAACTCAAGGGACACTCCAGACACAATCTAAATCCATTAACTGAGTAGAATCTTTGAAACTTCACCAAGTAGAAGATTTAATTCAAGTTAAATTCCAAATTAAACAACGCTACACAGAATTACACCTAGACAAATTAAGAAATTTCAATAAAAGAACAGCTCTGCAGGGCTCGGTTTATCTGTAAGTCAATTCCCAGAAACTTTAGACTAACCCATAAAAATAGAATTAGCCAAAACACTCGGATTGGTACTATATTTACAACAAATAATACTAGTACACTTCCCCATCCTAACTAAAAAACCAGGGAACAGCTTGGTGGTGGTCTTGTTTGAACCTCCCAACTGACCTTCCTTCGTTCTCTCCTTCAGCACTCTCAGTGGGCTCATCCAGTGGTGCCTCAGACTCATCATCTGAGATATCTCCAGGCACATCGAGGTCATCTGAGCCACCAGCACTGTCGATAGGGGGCTCGATGTCCTCAGCACCACCTAAATCTGACTCCGGGCTCATTCTAATAAGTCCATCAAGTACACTCAGCTCGTTCCTGACCTCAACATCATTGTCAGGATCTATGCTGTTGTTTCCTGAAGGCAAGGTGGAGGAATAAGGGAGGGGAAGGCGGAAGGAGGTATAGTCTATGTAACTTGGCACAGTGGCGGGGTCTGGTCGTTCTAGGTTTTCGAGTAGATGACGTATTGGTGCACACCGGAGATTGACGTTGGGAGTTGATCCATTTATGATCGAGTCGCAGCATTTGAGCAATGACTTGAGGCGCAGCCGTAATTGATACTTGAATAGTGCTAGGATCGAAGAGGACAGATTATCACACAAATATTAGTGGAATTCGCATGACATACAATGAATACTGTCTATGATCTGGACCAACAAGTCGAACGATTCGACAATCCAAGTGCATGCATTGAGTTCCTCTCGAGCGAGCCTGAGCTTTTCTTCCTTTATGCGAGCGAGCAATAGCACTGCTACTATGCCATGGCGAACTTCCTGATCAATGACAAAGGCAGGCAGTTTTTCGTCCAAGGACCAGTTGGAGTTCCATAAGGTCTCCCACATCTTTGCCCATCGTTCATCACTGGGATCCATCTGAAGCAACTCCTTGACATTCATTTTTGTGTGGCTTAGAGAATCTGGGAGCCAGGGTGGTCTCTGGGAACACTCAAGGTAGTCGACAAGCTCGTTATATTGGCAGACTTGCATAGAAATGATCCAGGCACGCCCGTTTGCACTACTGAGCACCGAGACCATTTTTGTGTATCCTAAAGTATCAGACAAGCTTCAACCACAACATCATTCACCTCGTGCATGGAGCACGTACCGACTTTTGTAACTAGTCATCCTCCATGCCATTGTGAGCTGCGAATAGGGTTCATCTCATCCTGATACTTAGCTAGGCAGATAAGAATAGAAGGCTTGCGGAACCGAGCCAGAATATACTTCTCGATGTATTCTTTTTCTTTGTCAGATGGGTTTTGCGGAAGTTTCAAATCGGATAAACCAATTTGGGCTGTCAGTTCGTGCAAGCATGCCTGGGATTCATCGTGCAATGATCGTACATGCAGAGCAGCTTGATAATGCTCCTTCAGATCCATAGGCCTGTGAGACATCGTTTGCACCAGAGAGATACGGTCCAGCTCCTTCTTTACGGCATCCAAGGCATCCGAATGCACCTGAGCCGACCGTTCAGCTTCCAACAATTTGGCAAACTTTTTCATTCCAGCTTGGTCATTGTCTAGAGTACAGAAACATTGGTTAATACCAAACATGAGGTTGGAAAGCGGCATACAGGCTCGAGCGGATAGTTGCAGAGTCTTTTGTGCCTCCCACTGGGATTGAAGGAATTGAGGTGTAAATCCCCTATTCTCCTTTAGTGTTTCAAGGAGATCAGTCGTAAGGGCTTCCTGTTGATGGATGGCACCCATTTTGGACCTTGCCAATGAAGCCAGACGATCTCGGCCCTGGGAGGCAATCAGCTTGATTTTGCTGTCAATAGTTGTTATCCGCTTTGCTGGCTATAGTTATGCAACGACATTTATCAGGTCTCACTGACGTGCAAACAGCGTTAGGCACTGTCGGACTCACGCTCATCATACGTTCAGGCGCTATCGTGTCTACGATCGAGGACCACAGTCGCTCGTTTCCCTCCCCATTTGACTTGCCAAATCCACTTCGTTTCCATGGGTGGAATGCGATTTGGCAACAGAACTGATGTACATACGCATGAAAGACCGAAACGGCGATACTCAATCTAGGAGCTATGTTGGGGATAAGATTATACTTTATTCAAACATCAGCTGTTGTATTGCAGGTAGTGTAAAGTTATACCTTAGCAATTGATCAATCAAGAACGCACCCAACATCATACATTAATCCAATGGTGGCGTTTGAGGGCAGCTGGCGGCTGAGTGCGATGAGCATGGCAACAGAAAAGTGCTGCTGCTCGCCCGGGGTGTCCACATCACAAAGAAAGAGGGGGATATCATGGCGGCAGACAGTAGCCATCAGACCCTTCGAACGGAAGGTATCAGTTTTCGACACTGACTGTCTTCCATGCTTCGTGGCTCGGTGCAATTCTTCGCACTCCTCAATAGCGCCATCCAGCACAAGAGATGAAGGACGAGATCCCGAAGAGCTTCGAGATGCATCTCGCACCTCAAAGACATGGCGGGCAGCTTCACCGACTTTGGCATGGGTCAGGAAACTGCAGGTTTTGTTCCAGGGAAGAATCATCTCTCCGCCAACAAACATATATTGCTTGTGTCATCTTGACCTCGTTCACCATGTCCCATTGACCTCGGTGTAGATGCTGTGCGGCATGCTTAATTCAATCGGCAGTAGCCATAGTGCCGGGGAGTGCCGATGACCAAATATCGAATATGCAAACTGTTTGTTTCGTGCTCTTCTTTGCTTTGCTAGCTATCTAAACAGGGAAACCATCAACCATTCTAGTGAGCCTTGCGGTCTCTGTCTCAAGCCCAGCCCAATGTGTCGGTTTGTTCTCCAGGTGCAAAAGGGAACAATCGGTGTCGACTTCGCCAAGTCAACTTGTGCTAGGCTTGCCAAATTCTCATATGGGCCTGCGAGCACCCCATTCCAAGCCAACCCATGTGGTAATGTCCCAGTTAAATGTTCCTACTGTCCAAAAGGATCAAGTGCAGTTTGGAGATACAATCTGGATGCTCACTATCGTGCTAAGCATTCCCCTGCGCTCCCTCTTACAGAGCTTGCAATCACTAATTTTGAAATAGAAGGACTCAAGTTGCTCTGGGACAATCGTCATACAGCAAACTGCATGGAAGTGAGGCGTCGGAAGCGGCATAAGCCGCATTTTGTGATATCCGAAGCTCACAGCACCCAACTTGCTCTCCGGACTACCGATCTAGAAGGGCCAAGTGCAGTGAGCTCTCAGATGAATTCCAATATTGAAGATAGTCTACAACAAGCCCATGATGAAACCAATCCCTTGCCTCTTGATCCCTTAGTCCCCCATCCAAGCCCGGGCCCGCTGTTATCTGCCAATGAGTCTATCCAAACCAGCCTACCTGCTGCGCATCAAAGTGGGCGTCCTATGCGCTCGGTACAGTGGCTGGTGACTGCTCTCCACCGGTGCTGTGATGTGGAAGTTACAGCAGATGAAATTACTAATGGGTCTAATGTTGTACGCTGTTGTCAGGGCACGGATGGTTATCCGGCCGGCCCGGACCTCTATCCGGATAGGTTGAGTACCCGTAAGTCGATATCTGCGTGTGATTTGCCGTAGTTAGAACGCAGGCTGTATTCAATGCGCTATTTCCGCTATCGCGTCATCCCTCACCCGTTATCGCCCCCTTATCCGCATGATCTATTCTCCTATTTCATGTCGCTTCTCTATCGGCTACCATGTGTTCCCAGTGTAGCCGCGCTCTTATGAGTTGCGGAACTCATGTATATAAGGCCTTATCGCCAGCTGGGTTGGCCCCCCAGCTTTTACAACGACTAGTTTCCCGGGGAGATTCTTACGCGCGAACTGACGCGCGGACTCTGACAGCTGTCTGAAGCCGGGATGTGAGACAGTTTGGGTCAGTCAACTTGAATACTTCGACTTTGACAACAAATACTCATTATTTTCGTTAGTTTCATCGAGCTTGTCAAGGGAATATTCCCCCAGGGTGGAATTGTGGATTCCACGATTTTGGTAGAGCCCCCAAACATCCACGCAAATATTGATTCACCCTTTTTGATATTACCCAACTAACAATTTACATTGTACATACACTCCATAACCTAATCTAAAATTTCCGCCAAAAATAAGTTTGTCACACCTTGATGACACCCTCCCTCCCATACCATGTGTTCGGCATTCGCCGATCTGACACCCCTTGCAAGTTGGTGACACCTCCAGAAAAGAGCACTAGCCTCAATGCCCTTGTTCCTCCACAATCACCCCAGATCCCACAAGTGCCAAGGGTAGGGATCTTCGAAATAACGAAAAACAAGCAAGAAACAACAAAAGGTCCTGATCAAGGGGATATCCGAGTTTATGTGTTTATCCGGCAAAACGCGCGAGATGAAAGCATGAACGCTTACATAAGCGTCAGCCGGGGCATCCAATAGAAAACCTACAAACCCCTCTGAGATGAGCGCAAAAGGAAATATACACGTGATCATGGCTGAACAAAAAATGATGGGAATTGATTTAGAAACCAGCCAACGACCATTGCCTACATGTGACATTATTATGTAATAAATATTCATTGCGTGCGGTCTCATCGTCCCCTCCCTGTTATTCCCCAACCCAACCCAATTACCAAACTAAAATTATTAATTACCATTACAGCGCTTGTGTATTGTAGAACATGCTCAGAATAGGGTTTGTTTAGTGCAGTGAGTGTAGCATTGCTTATCGGTGTTATATATACATTGAAGTCATCCTCATGCAATAACTGTGGCAAAAAAAAATCCACCAAGAATGAATCGAACCTGCACAAGCAGGGGGGAGACAGGGTCATAAACAGCGTTATAATCCACTAGACTAAGTAGACCTCACATGGATCCGGTCCTAAAAGTAATATATAAAGTGTTAATTTCAGCCACGGATCCGGGGTTGATCACGAAGTCAAAAGCTGCCCAATGTACATTTTGCATGACATTGATCACCCCTTGGAATTGAAGTTTTTCATTTTAAAAGTTTTCTAAGGGAGAAAAAAAAGAAACACCATACAGGACTCAAACCAAGACCCATCCAGACACAGGATTGAAGAGAATCCAGCACCAGCCGCTAAGCCAAACTGCCATCACTAGTGGCCTTGACCAAACCATATATATGTATAGTTAAACTGGCCTCAATTCCCTTGCCCCCCTTCATCCACTATTTTTTTCTTACTGCATACAACTTTCTGTTCCCTTCCGTTAAATGCCCCACAGTTATGAAGGCGCCCGGGCCCCTGCCCATGTGTCTTCACGCTTGCATCCTATTCATTTCCTTCATTGTAATTGGTGGATTCAAACAAAATATCATCATTTTCATATTTGTGTAAATTCATCAAACACGTGATTTTTTGCGCTCATCTCAGAGGACTAAACCTAAATCCACCCCATGCTTTGTGACGTCAGAGGTCGCCGGAGGTCATGTGCCCAAACAAAAAACAGACATAGAAAATGAAAATTCATTTCAGTTCTAGCTAGAGGTATATACAGGAGCAAAATGTTCGAAGTACAAGTGTAATTGGCTGAGCTTGCGAGGCATTTGTAATTATTCACCCCAACCCAAACCCCCTGTGCGGCATTTTTAAATAGACACATATACCCACGATACACAACCGCCAATCCCAATCCCAACCCTGACCCAACACCCAACCCTTGACCCGAACCCGAACCTGACACCCAACCCCCGAACCCAACACCCAAACACCCAACGCAATAAACAAAAAAAAACAAAAGACCACAGCAGGAACAAATCGAACTAGAGCCCTACACAGTCAACACAACACACACAGACGCAGTGTTGCACAAGACCAAGTCAGACTCGTGGTCACGGGGACTCCGGGTCAGATCGGGGTCGGACTGGGTGTCTCAGTCCGTCAGGTCTGAACTAACGGAGTTATAACTGTTGAAATAGCCACCTCAGCCTATCAGGGCGTATAGTGTAATGGCTGTGCACACTGAGTTCGCGATCCAGAAGACTGGAGTTCGATTCCCAGTATGTCCAACTTTTAGGTTTCCCTAAAAAGACCACGTGCAAATTCCAACATGGTGGACATTCTGCGGAATACACCGAGCACACCCAAATCCGGTTGCTGCCACGTGAGCTGGGCACGTGAAGTCAAGCATTAAATTAGCCGGCCTGACAAAGTTTCAGGGGGTGTAGCTCAGAGCACTAAGGACCCAAATCCGGCTGCTTCAGACCACATGACATGGACATGTAGGAGATTAGCAGTAAGTCCGGCCTGAATATAAATTCAGGGGGTGACGGCTCACGGGTTGTTGGAACCCCGGTGGTTTGGGTCACATGTGGATCACATGGTCGATCCAATGTGAAGGGGGTGTGTTGAAATAGCCACCTCAGCCTATCAGGGCGTATAGTGTAATGGCTGTGCACACTGAGTTCGCGATCCAGAAGACTGGAGTTCGATTCCCAGTATGTCCAACTTTTAGGTTTCCCTAAAAAGACCACGTGCAAATTCCAACAATAACGGACTAACGGATTTAGCTACAAGCGTTTGACGTGTCACCACAAACATTCCATTCTGCCACCATCTCTGAGCTCCCATCTAGGTCTTCTCATGTTAAGATTTCTAGCACTAAGTTCCGCTCACCCTGGACCCAGTAAAGGAGTCCCACATTGAATCTCGCATCAAATTGAAAATATCTCGTACCCTTTTCCCCTGTAAACTTACACCCTAGGTTGTAAATAGATACTTTGGGAGGAATGGAAAATGGAACTTGGGGGGATCTTGAGGGTAGACTCCGCGCAAAGATGGTGGCCATGGTTTATGTCATCAGGTGACAGGATCGAATGCATGAGGGATGTCCATGCTCGTATGTTTGCCGTTTGATGAATACTTAAAACAAATTAATGCGATGTATGTATCAGACTCCTTCCCAGTCGCTCACATGATTTCTCCGAGGTTTAGCCGCAACTTACGTTGGCCTCCGAAATCTGTCGAGCGACTGGTACAACTTGCAACACGTGATGTTCCCACGCTAAGTTGTAATGAGTTGTACATAGGTTACGGAATATAATTTTTAGTATTTACACATGCGGTCATTGCACCCAACCCAACCCGTGGAGACTAAGGGAGCACATCCAAGGTTGTGAAGTCAATATCCGGGGGTGCGCGAAGTTTAACGGTTTATATATTACTTAGTTACCAGCTACTTGTTTGTGCCCGGTGGCATAAGTGGTATGGCGTTAGCTGAGGCTGTGCAGTCTTTTTAAGTGGCACATGTTCAATTCTCACTTAGGAAACTTTTTTTTTTCATACCCTCCATTCCTTAGTATACAGAAAACAACCATTTCAAACAATTATTCCATGGGAGGGCCCAAAAAAAGTTTGCCTAAGTGAGAATTGAACATGTGCCACTTAAAAAGACTACATGGCCTCAGCTAACGCCATACCACTTATGCCACCGGGCACAAACAAGTGGCTGGTAACTAAGTAATATATAAACTGTTAAACTTCGCGCACCCCCGGATATTGACTTCACAACCTTGGATGTGCTCCCTTAGTCTCCACGGGTTGGGTTGGGTGCAATGACCGCATGTGTAAATACTAAAAATTATATTCCGTAACCTATGTACAACTCATTACAACTTAGCGTGGGAACATCACGTGTTGCAAGTTGTACCAGTCGCTCGACAGATTTCGGAGGCCAACGTAAGTTGTGGCTAAACCTCGGAGAAATCATGTGAGCGACTGGGAAGGAGTCTGGGGATTCCCCGATGAAAAGTCCGACTTACGCTGACCGTGGGAGAGACTTGTGACCATCTGGTCAGACTCACGGACTTCGGTCTTTGCGACCATTTGCGACCAGGTCTGTACAACACTGACCATTATGCCCTAATCAGGGCAAAGTTCCCTCATTTCCATGGTTACCAGGTGAATCAGACTGTTCATAATTTCCGAATTTGCTTTTCACGCGCGTTGTTATGGAACATAACGTCGGATCCGCCGCGCGCCTTCATACATAATATGACTTCTTGCTATCTCCCAACCCTAATCCTCGCGGCCCCCATAACTACCCGCAGGAGTAGGGTTGGACCCACCAAGAGCTAGAAGTTAACGGTTCTGTATTCAGCTTCGTTTCAAACGAAAATCGGTTGCATATGGCAACCCTTCTATGTTTTAGGTTATCAGCTGCTTTCGGCCCGTCCTCGATGGTCATGTCCGTTAGACTGGCAGCGGGGACGGGAGACGTTGTCGATTCGAGTGCATTTTACACGAACACATCGTGAGCCTGACTAATTAGATGGTGCCCACCTCCTTGCACGGTAGTGGACTCATGGCGGCGTCGAAAATTTGGACCGGGGAGCCAGGAGGCAAGATGGTACTACGTAGGACTTGCTATCAGAAGCCCAATATGGGGCGAGCTTTCCGCCTCCTGTAATTTTGACACAAGCATCGTTTTGACAACTTCCGAATCTTCTGAACATCGCGCGCGTCTTCAGAGAAGCTATAGCGCATGAAGTCTTCGTCCCCAGAGCCAACACTTCGTGCAGCAGCCACCATGTGAATGCCTTAAGGCTTGCTCTCTTAGTTGCGCAACATATTCCACCTTTCGGAATGGTTACCCTTAAATACCAAGGGACCAGCGTCCCTTCATCTCCTCCATGCTGCCCGACTCTTTGGCACCACGAAGCCCCCATCCAGGTGCTGGGGGCAGACGGCGTAAACAATACCATAGACATGCCTGTACCCAATGCAAGCGAAGGTGCGAGACGCCCACGACCTATAGTTGGAGAACAAAGTAAGAACTCACGTTCGTACAGCAAACGTGGTTGTGATCGGGACTGGGCCGTTGACGGCGGGAAGTGTTCGGTTTGTGACAGATTGCAAGTCTCTGTGAGTCTCCCAAAATCAAACCAGGTTTCTGTTTACCCCGATCTCCAAGTGCGACTATCCGCTGTCTGAGCCTCCTTCGAACGGCGCTGGCACGCCGTTCCAGTGTAGCTCTAGTGTCAATCTGCTTGTGACACCGTCAGGTGTGGCATCTCATCCTTCCGAGTCGTGATGACTCGATTGATTTCATCCGCTCTTTCAAGAGGACGCCGGGATTTTGGACGGTGTTGAACTTGCGGAAAGCCATTTTCCAGGAATTTTCGACCGAGATCGGTTCACGGAGTGCTCAATGCGTCCCATGGAGGTAAAGCGCGATGGTCATGAACATTTCAGTCCTATGTTACATTGGGTCTTCTGCCTCCTTCGCAAGAGCCTAGGACCGTATGAATCTCGGGAGCTCTTGGAGAAAGCAAAACGAGCTTTTGGAGAAGAGTTCGAGGACCCTAGTCTCGCCACCATCATGGCTACCATCCTCCTATCAGAGATGCTGTCTAAGTTAGAAGAACCCTACTGGCAGTTTGGTAAGCCTATTTCGTCGTTTGGCGTTCTCTTCTTGTTCATTGCTCACGTCTTCGGTAGGGGAGGATTTATTAGGCAAGTCGTTTCAGTAAAAGCGTATCGGCAAGTTTCTTACATCGGCTGCCATCATGCAGACAATGCATATGCATGTTAGCACACCATTTTTCGTATTGGTATATGGCATCGCTGAGCATTTTTTTCAGGGTTACATTCATGCCACAAGCGCGATCTCCTGAAAAATGTGCCTTCCAATAATATTAGGCAACTTATGGAGAAAGTCCGTGCGCTTGTATGTTTATAAATGGAAATATCCCAATTCGCTCATAACTGATTATGGCCGGACCTTAGGCTAAGGAAGCGGGATTCGGGTTACGTGACCACTGCACCTATGAGGCGGCTCAGCCTCAGCTGCCTCCATCATCGACACATGAATATGCGCGACTTATGATCCCTCAAGCCCACGCGCAGAGCGTGGATGCTACCAACATGAACGCAACACCAGTGGAACCGCTCGAGGGCTATTTGCTTCCCGGATCCACGCTTGATAACTTTAATAGCCCTACCGCTACTCAGGAGCCTGCGATCGAGCCTTGGAAGCTTAATTTGAGTGACTGGCGATCGTTTGCATTATACAACAGGTAAGCCAATGCGATGGAGTTTCCGGTATCCATTTTCATCCGCTTACAATGTCTTCCCCTGCCCTTGTCCCAGGCCCTAGGCCCTTCATTTGACTAATTGTGATTATTGAGAAGCTACCCCTGGTTGGTTGTGTACATACGCTGGAAACGTGTGTAAGTGGATTGATGTGTTCGGGGCATTGAGTTTTCAATTCAGTGCCAGTACGGCATGATGTATGTTTGCCAAGGGTCAGTGTTGGACAACAAGCCATGATGACGCGCCGGTACGCGTATCATCGGTTATTGATATGATACCTCTTGACCATGTGTTACATAATTCACTGTTGCCTACGTTCCACATGTAGCGCTTAGGTGCAATTTCCTTATCACTTTTGTCTGATATCCTTTTATTACTTTAGCTACTTATACCGCCGTGCGGGCTATAATGTCAACTAGTTCTGTTCTCCCTCCCGTTCGAGTGTCCCGCTGAGTGCTCTAACCAAAAGTCAGAATGTTAGCTAACCCTGGTGGAACGCTTCAAGGGTGGATGTGAAGCCACTTGAATTTGAAATCCTCGGGCAGGGTGAACTGCACCTCAATTGATTACCCTTCGATGGTTTTCAAATCTGTAAGGGATTACATTATCAGAGCTACTACATTGAATGTTTCCCTCCGTGACATTTTCTCCGAACTCGCCGAATACGTTATGATAGAGGTCTTGCTCATTCCCCCATTCCCATTTTAGGTCACCTTGGACGCCGAGGTTCCGATATATCGAGGTTGGCCACCTGCCTAGTCTCTGGATCCTTGCCACGGGTCTGGTTAGCCGGCTCGACGTCGTTGTCTGATCCAAGGTGGCCGCGGAAGATCAAGCTAGGGCATTGAGGCTGTTGCTCTTTGGTGGAGTTATTGAGACCGGAGTAAACGATGAGGCCGACTCAAGGCCGATTCCGTGCGGCTCCTTGAGCTTGTTCCCTGACGCTCAACTGATGCTGCATGTGTGTTTGTCTGCTGTGACTCTCTCCCTCCTCGTTTCTCGGCAATCTCACCAACGGATACTATTCGATAGGCGTACATTCTGACGGCTGAAAATGAGCTTGGAGGTGGAGGCGCATGACACTACATTGGCCGAAAGAAGATTACGAAGGGGAGACGATCGGATCGATATTCCTCAATTTCTATCCAGGTTTGGAACTGTGTGGGGTGTAGGTGCAGCTACTGCTGCGATTTATTGGAACTCGGAGACGATTGTATTCGCCACATGCACACCACTGAACACAACCTCGTTGATGTGGAAATGAAGTGTGAAAATGGCTAGCTCTGGAAAGGTCATCACTATTTACTGCTATGGTGAGAAGGGTTATATGCTGCCTGCATTCTTATGGATCGCGTCAGGGATCCACGCGAAGATTGTCGGAGGAGCGTGCCGTGGCGGTGCGCTGGTACGCCAATTGTTGTTCATATCTTTATGCCACTTTTATCTCCACGCAACGCTGCAGCGTTCCACGTGTAGCAGCGCACACCATCCGCCCCATGTCATTTGTTAACATCAAACAACAGCAATAGCAACAAAAGTCTCGCAAGCTCGGCCAATTACTTACTTTTATCACCGCTCGGTTCCATTGTTGAATCCATGAACGAAGGCATTTGGATAAAAACTGCATAGCTATCCTCGTGTGCTGTTTCAGATGATTGCTGGAGAACATCAAACACTCCCCAACAAATAACCTCATGCTCATTGGGCGTTGTTGGAGCATTCATGAAAATACATTTGTGTCATATATTCAATTCGTGATCGTGTACATTGACGTGCTGTCAGCTTATTGTGGTATATTAACCGGTTTCTGGATTCTGCGTGCAGTTCCGCAAAGCTTAAAAGTTCTCGTTGTTGATGATGCTGCTTCTTGTAACAGGCTTCATGATTATGTAATCCACGTCTGTTACCCTTTGCACTTACATAAGCAGTACCTGACATAATCTGGCAATGACACGATCGATATCGTAAAGTCTGCGGCAATCGCTAACGATCGCTGCCGTGTCCCTCATACACCTTCCTCTCCTCGCTTTGTCACCATGTGATGAATCTTGGCCTGCTCCTATGGCTAGAGTGTTCTGAAAACGATCCGCAGGTAAGAACGCGGCGTTACATAGATTTTCCCCTACTAAGCCTGGAAACCTTGCACTCGAATGTTCCGCTCCTCTGTCGCACGGATGCAGCTCGGATCTCAGCTTCTTGTATCGCTGAAAATCGAGGGTCGCACCGCAGCACATCAAGCCCTACATGCGTATGGTGTGCCGCGCGCGTCGCATTGTTTTCCGCTTTCCGCAAGAGTAGGAAAAGGATGAGGAAATTAACTCAAGCCCCTTCCCCCTCAGAATTCTTTGCCTATCCCTTGTATCGATTAATTTCTGGAACGGTGCAAAACAGAATTGCAAAGCTCCTGTGCGGCGGCACGCACATGCGCAGCATCTAACATATAAATAATGCAGTTGACGCTGGCGATCAAAGTTGTCGAGAGAAAGCATCCCAAGCATCCCTCGTGTGTGTTCTGCAACAGGACATCGAGATATTTCTTGGAATTCGTTTTGAGAAAACTTCTTCCCGGGCGTCTTCGATGAACAACATGCAAACTCACTCTTATGTTGGACCTAAAACAAATGGAACCGATAAAACGAACGCACTTACGTTCTGGCATAGTTTTCCGCAGCATTAACTGTTGGATGTCGTTGATTTAGTCCACCACCGTCAAGAACAATGACGCGTCGCATCCGCAGAACAGGGGGTACAGGTTGGCTCCGGTCCCAGTTAGGATCAGATGCACGTACATACACATAATGAGCCGAGGAGATAGACAATGAACTTGGTTTGGGTCGTAGTCAGAAAGAATGGCCTGTAGGAGAGCGCCCCTAAAAAGGAGAAATGGTGGAAAGAATGCGCTTGATAGCTTGACGAACAAACTGGATGGTCAAGAAAGGGCCTGAGAGTTCATGATGGGAAGAGATACCATGGGTTGGTGAGACATCGACAAAGAGATTTGTGTGGTGAAAAATCCTGGTGCGGAAAACCTATGTTTGCCATTCTTATCGCCTATGTCGGTGACTGCTTCACCCCCAGCAACGACGAAATGATTACGTGCAGTCAGGCGAAAAGGGGTATATGTAGTCAGAAAGAATAAATTGACAGTTCGTGCCAACTACCATACAGCATTACGAGAAAGTCAGGACAGAATGATTCTCTAATGGTGTAGCGGCCAAACGAGTTGCGCCACATCGTCTTCCAGCACCCCAGGCGTCCAACGACATTGTAACGCATTCACCTGTGGACAAGCTCGTATCCGCAGTACCATAGGAATGGTCTCAGGCTCTCGATGATTAGATGAACGTCCTGCTGGGGTGATGTCGGAGGGTGTGAATCAAGAAATACAGGTGTCGACGAATTCGCTTGATGGCCATCTCCTTCCGGACTGTCGATGCTTCGGCCGGTGATCCTTGACGGATCCAAGGGCCCATGATACACAATCCGATCCGGTGCGTCATCCAAGAATGCTGCAGAATTATCCATAAAACATTCAAATAGCGGATCAAAATCCGGGATGGAATTTGAAGAGTACGTCGGAAACAGAGAGGACACGTTGGACTCCATCGCTTCAGGGCTGCTGACAGGGGGAGTTGGGGGGGTCGACGCGTTACCTAGTCCAATCTGGCGTTGAGATGAGGCTTCCTGGTATCGGAGTGCCTGGGTGGCTCGGGTATTGAACCGGCTTAACGTGGCCCGTTCCAGTAAACGCGAAAAGCTCTCAGTCATGGGCAGTGGATCTATGAGAAAAGCCACTGAGATAAACATGGTGACTTATAGAATTTTGGCCCTTACGGTGAGTGGTGCGAGACGTCGCCGTTGCAATAGCCTGGCGGATCTCTTCGTGAGCAGCCTCACAAGCATAGTGACGCTGTGCGTAATTGTTGAGCCATGTTGGTAGTCCGTAATGCCACCAAGAAATAAATACCCACCCTTAGCCCAACTGGGACAGGCCCTACTCGCTCATGGCATCGCAACCGAAGACGGTTGCAGTCCGTGCAGGCAAAGCTTCCGGGAGGACGTGTGCATCCCTAGTAGCCGATGTCTAGTAAGGTTCTGCAAGGAAATCTGTTGAAAGTTAGACGGTACCTTTCCCCTGAGGCGACACACGAGACATCCTGCGGAGCGACGGCTTGGTATTGTGGTAGGCATGAACAGCGTTTAGGGAAGAGATGGAAGGGATTCTGAACCAGCAGAAAAAGATTATACCTCCCCTCACACCCATGATTGAGCCGTTAAATAGAGCAAAAAACAACAGTTGTAGCAGTGGCGTCGGAAATTGCAGGGCGCCCAACTTCCGCAACATCGCGTTCGTCGCGTGTGTCCAACGAATGAGGCCTTTCCATAGCAACCCACCGTCACTTGCTTGTAACATTTCCACAGCTTAGCAGGCCCTCTTCAGCATGGGTATTGCTCAACGGGGAGGGTGGGGGAAACGAGGATATTCCGATAAGGGGGAAGTGGTTCGCTGCTGCTGGGAAAAAGGAAAGGGGGGTACTGTACATATTGAGAAATTTAATTGAACAATCCCTTTCCCAAGCCATCTGGAATGTCTAGACCTGGGATGAATACCTATCTCACGCACGTCCCATACCTTAGTTCATTTGAAGAGGAACACTAAATGAGAGGGGTTCTAGGGTAAAAGGCATATATTGGAGGACCGCGTGGTGTATGGGAGATGAGGTTTCAGCAATGACGCCAAACGATTCGATTGGAGTCAGGCGCGAGGGGACGGCTGCAGCTGGCAATTGTCGCATCGACAGGGAAGAGGTCAACTCGTTCAGACTGAAACATTTCCTTCCTGAGTACAGTGCTTCTCGGATAGGATGTTCACGTCGTGACCAAGACACAAATGAGATGAGGAACTCAAACTCATCTGGTTCTTGCGAACGTCTGGTTAGCCATTGGGTCCGGAAGAGGCCGGTAGCTAATAACAAATTGGCGTGTGTGGGATGTTTCTAAATTTGGAAGCACTTAAACTGAGGTACATGCAAAATTTGCACAGAATATCCAGCGACGCGATCGAGTTCTGAACAAATCAGTCCGACGGCCATCAACGGAACCTGAGTTGCCGGTACATGAGGGTTGACTGAGAACAATATCGTTATATTGCATTCCATCAGCTATTTCCTATGTATATCGCCGATCACAGTGTATGAATTGTTTCTACACTTTCGCGCTTTCACGCGCATCCAAGTCGTCCAGTGTTGTTATGACCGTTACGGAGGGTTGTGCCGTAGGCCGGATCCCAGCCTCCACATGTACCGGCGGAATCAACCGATAGCCCTGTCACTTTTTCTCTGCAGCATACCTGCTTCGCAACCCCAATCATCAGTCGTGTTCGTTAGGCTGGCAACGCTGTCGATTCGGGTATATGCTCCACGAACGAATCGGGCTCCTGGATCGTGAGCCCGAAGTGCGGCAACGGGACGTCTGAGGCTCATCGATCCGGGCGGTACTGGTACTCCACCCACTAGTTCTAATGTCGATCTGTCCGTGACACGTCCAGGTGTGGTGTCTCATCCTCCGTGATGGCTTTATCCTCTTTACATCAGTAAGTCAGGAAATGACTATCATGGCCGAGAACCCGGTCCCCAGCCACACCCTAGCAGTTTGAAAAGTGTGCTTCCTCGTCTAGCGTTTTCCCTCACGTCATCTCTGCTAACTGCACTAGACAATGCGTATAGATGTTAGCATTCCTTTCTCTGTATCGGTATATCGCATCACTGATCACTTTCCAGGCGGAATTCATATGATGAGCGCAACCTTCTAAAGACAACGAGATTAAGCAACTTTTGGAGAAAGTGCTCGTATGTTTCTAAGATGGAAATTTTCTCAATTTGTTCGTAACTAATTACATAAAACTAGACTTCATGTAGCTGCCAGATTAAGCACCTATACTACATCGGACAACTCGTAACAAGCTGGAAAGCATCGTGTCCGACTAAAACTTTACATTCAGATTTCCGGCTCCTTCGTCACGCCCATGCTGCTCAGATATCAGCTTGTATTGTCGGGGGTTTGGGCTCAAAGTCGCGTGGCTGCGTTCGACCCAACACGCGTACAGCGCCAGTTCCGCAGTGCTTTCCGCTTTCCGCAAGGGGGATAAAATACCCAAGCCCCAACCCTCAGATCGCTCTTCCTACCACCTCATACCAATGAACTCCTACCCATCTGGAATGGTGCAGGACGGACATCAAGAGTCGCAAGCTCCCTTGGCACTGTTGACAGAAGACGGGCGCCCAGACGCCCAACGTCGGAAAAACAACAAGGCATGCCTCGGATGCCAAACAAATACCAGGTGATAATGCTGAACTGAGGGAAGATCCCAACTCCTGATGTTGAAACTTGACACAGGAAACGTCGCTGTGACAGAGATTGGAACAAGAAGGACGCGAAATGTTCACGATGTTTCGAATCCGGAATTCCTGTACGCTGGCCAAAATCAGGTCAGCCTCCACGCACTAAACCTGTTTAACTGCCTCAGTGTGAGAGAGGGAGGAACAAGCCTCATAAAGCTGCTGTGGACGTTGCTGGAACTCCGTCCAACATTATCAACGACGCTTCTCATGAAACAGACCCAAGTACGGAATCCTCTTTTCGTCGTTTGTAGCAGTCAATTTCATAACGGTCGAATAATGCATCACATCAGTTGACGCTGGCAACACAAGTGGTCACCATGATCGAGGACAAGGCTCTGAACCATCCCCCGTCTATGCTCTGCCATTAAATACCGACATATCCCTTGGCATTTGGCTTGCGGAATGCCACTTCCCAGGCATCTTCGATGTACAGCGATTCATGCAACGCTCAATGCTCTCAAGGGACGTGAACTCCGACGAGTACTGTAGTTTGATGTTGCATCGGGTCTTCCTTCTTAGCGCTAGCAAAAGCGCAGCAGAGTCTAGGAAGCTCCTGAGCGAAGCTTTGCGGGCCTTTTCCGACGAATTCGAGGAGCCTAGTATAGCCACCATCATGGCTACCACTCTCCTTTCATCGTTGCTATCCAAGGCGAAACCACAACTGGGTAAGTCTGTCTTCTATTTTGATATTCATTGGTTGTTACTCACCCCTTCAACAGCCGGGGACTTGCTAAGTAAGTTGCTTCGGGAGTGTATTTATGATTTCTGACAATTGCTGAATGTCAATTATGCTAGACAACGCCTTTGCATGTCAGGACCCCTCTTCAATTTCATATTCATGTGCTACACCACTGACTATATCATAGGGCTTGACTCGCACACGCAGCGTAACCTCCTCCAGAATGTATCCCTAAACAAGATTACCAAACTTTTAGAAAAGGTTCATGCTATTGTATGTTTTCAGAACGCAATGTTTTAATTTGTTCGTCGCTAAAAACCTGGCTTTAGGCGGAGGAAGAAGGGTTTAGGTTGCGCGCGCACCGCGATTACGGTGACGACCAGCTCTCGCTGACTACGTCGCAAGCGCGTGGGCAAGGGGCAGAATCGATCATTACCCACACGCCCACGCAAAGGGGTGCCAACATCAACGTTCCGTCGGAACAATTCGCCTCGTCTTTGCCTCCGAGACAGACCCCATCACAACCATCTTTGGGATACACCACTGCAGCTACATATCCATTCCCCTTGCCCAATATGCTCCCCCCAGGTGTCATTGATGGCGCTACAATGTCCTTTATGCCTCGGCACAGTGCATCAACCGACGGCATGCGCTGCCGGTTTGATACCTATCCTAGCGCTTCAGGCCCTAATAATCCTCTCATGCCTGTAACGGACCTACCACTACAGACAATGGATATGGGTGATCAGTCCTTGCCTGACGACCAAGGTGCACCAATTGTAATGAATTTTTCCAGTACTTGTCTGCTTACGATCTCTCCGAATAGCAGGGTTTTTATGGTGATGGTGGGAGTAGAGATGAGGCGGGCCGCGGGTGGGATGCTTTCGTTATGGGTCGGTGAAATGGAGGATCACAGTCGTTAAGAAGCATACGATACACTTCCTTTTCGTATTTATCGTGCGGGTTCACAACCATCTGCTGCAGGACAGGCCCAGATGTATCTACTGTGTCTCGATTTTACACTGTGTGTATGTGAGATTTCTCGATATTTTACTAGCTGCGGTTGGCACTGCAGGTCTTTTTGCCAAGTTGGTTTCCCACTCATGTATTTTCCAAGTTGGTCACGGCTTTCTCCCCTCATTAACTCATAGCCTCGCTCCATGGCCCTACAGGGGCGTGGAGAAATAATACATAGATCAACGCCCGCCAGCTAAGGCTGATGCTCGCACGGATCCGCAACCCCAACATGAACCACAACCTACCCTCCGACGGCGCGGGAGTGAATGCATCCGCCCTTGAGAATAAGAAGAAACGCAAGGCCACCAATCGCGGTTCTTCTCAGTCGCAAACAACAGGAATGCACGATTGGATGCCAGTGAACCTACAAAACCCCTCTGAGATAGTAATCCTAAATCCACCCCATGCTTTGTGACGTCGGAGGTCGCCGGAGGTCATGTGAGAATCAAAAAAAATTACATAATAACAATGAAATGTGTTCGCAGTCTGATTCCGGATGCCATTTTGTATGTAACTATTCATATTTATAATTGAACGAGGTTACTGTGTCAGTGAGGCTTTGGCCTAACGGCTAGTGCCGTCTGTGCAGTGTTGTACAGACCTGGTCGCAAATGGTCGCAAAGACCGAAGTCCGTGAGTCTGACCAGATGGTCACAAGTCTCTCCCACGGTCAGCGTAAGTCGGACTTTTCATCGGGGAATCCCCAGACTCCTTCCCAGTCGCTCACATGATTTCTCCGAGGTTTAGCCGCAACTTACGTTGGCCTCCGAAATCTGTCGAGCGACTGGTACAACTTGCAACACGTGATGTTCCCACGCTAAGTTGTAATGAGTTGTACATAGGTTACGGAATATAATTTTTAGTATTTACACATGCGGTCATTGCACCCAACCCAACCCATGGAGACTAAGGGAGCACATCCAAGGTTGTGAAGTCAATATCCGGGGGTGCGCGAAGTTTAACAGTTTATATATTACTTAGTTACCAGCCACTTGTTTGTGCCCGGTGGCATAAGTGGTATGGCGTTAGCTGAGGCCATGTAGTCTTTTTAAGTGGCACATGTTCAATTCTCACTTAGGCAAACTTTTTTTGGGCCCTCCCATGGAATAATTGTTTGAAATGGTTGTTTTCTGTATACTAAGGAATGGAGGGTATGAAAAAAAAAAGTTTCCTAAGTGAGAATTGAACATGTGCCACTTAAAAAGACTGCATAGCCTCAGCTAACGCCATACCACTTATGCCACCGGGCACAAACAAGTAGCTGGTAACTAAGTAATATATAAACCGTTAAACTTCGCGCACCCCCGGATATTGACTTCACAACCTTGGATGTGCTCCCTTAGTCTCCACGGGTTGGGTTGGGTGCAATGACCGCATGTGTAAATACTAAAAATTATATTCCGTAACCTATGTACAACTCATTACAACTTAGCGTGGGAACATCACGTGTTGCAAGTTGTACCAGTCGCTCGACAGATTTCGGAGGCCAACGTAAGTTGCAGCTAAACCTCGGAGAAATCATGTGAGCGACTGGGAAGGAGTCTGATACATACATCGCATTAATTTGTTTTAAGTATTCATCAAACGGCAAACATACGAGCATGGACATCCCTCATGCATTCGATCCTGTCACCTGATGACATAAACCATGGCCACCATCTTTGCGCGGAGTCTACCCTCAAGATCCCCCCAAGTTCCATTTTCCATTCCTCCCAAAGTATCTATTTACAACCTAGGGTGTAAGTTTACAGGGGAAAAGGGTACGAGATATTTTCAATTTGATGCGAGATTCAATGTGGGACTCCTTTACTGGGTCCAGGGTGAGCGGAACTTAGTGCTAGAAATCTTAACATGAGAAGACCTAGATGGGAGCTCAGAGATGGTGGCAGAATGGAATGTTTGTGGTGACACGTCAAACGCTTGTAGCTAAATCCGTTAGTCCGTTATAACTCCGTTAGTTCAGACCTGACGGACTGAGACACCCAGTCCGACCCCGATCTGACCCGGAGTCCCCGTGACCACGAGTCTGACTTGGTCTTGTGCAACACTGATAATGGTCAACGTATTAGTTCAAGTGCCGCGGGCATGCTTGCATTTAACCAAAGGCCCAGCTTTTCCCGTCTGGTGTTGGGCCCTAATGCCCCCTACGCCATGTCCAACGTGGTAGGATAGTCTTTGGCGCTGAGATTTTGCCCTTCTTGTGCTAGCGCTTCAGCCGCACAAGGCCCAAGAACACCTCCTTTTCGCTCTCCAGTGTCCCCCCCCCCCAGTTTCTTCGAACGAGCTACCGGAGGAATTGAAAACAGGAGGCGGAATTTAGTCATGTTACATCGCTTCCCTGCCTCGCTTCCTTTCCGCTCCTATGAGGCCTATGAGCAGGAAAGCTACTCCAGATACCACATCGACATGTAATTTCTCTTTCCATCGGCTCTCATATAAGGCACTTCGCCTTCTCATGTCGGAGCCAAGGTATAGAACTTTCCCCAATCCAACATTTCAAACATCTATCATGTCATTTGCCCACGCAGCAACTCCCGATACACGAGGGACCACTGCTGGGTGCCTAGTGTGCGACCTCAGGGGCGAGGTACAAGCGAACGTTCAGCCTTTCTTGCGTTGTCTGATCAGCCATCCCTTAGATATGCGTACGCCCTCCCGGAAGCCACGTCTGCATCGATTGCCACTACTTCCAGATACAGTGCCATGGGCAGGGGCCGACTCCATCCGAGATGAAGGTAGGGTTTTACCAGTGGGTCGCAGACTGCGAACATTACTCAAAAATTGTGCAGAGTCACTATTCCTATCAAGCTGCCTGCGAGGAGATCTACGAGGCCATTAACAATGCCAATTCCCGCAACACTCACGGTAAGAGTCAAAATGTAACTCGCCTGCAGTTATCTCAATGGCTTGATCGTTCATAGATCGCTTGCCCGCGACCAAGAGATTTTCGGATTTACTAGAACAGGCAAAGCTGGGTTTAGCCAATACCCTAGTCACTCAAGCCCAATGCCAAGGAACCCTACCCTACCGGTGGAGTGGCACGTCGACTCCTGCAGCCTCCTTTGCCAGCGCCTCGGGAATAATGGAATCGACACCCTTTGAGCCCATCCCCGAATTCGTCCTATCCCCTCTATCCCCGGCCTACACCTCAAATCTTATCCTAGATTTCGACTCCACGCCCGGGCCTGGACATCTCAATCCCATGAATCTCCTGGACGGCGCTCCAGATCATGTGTTGTATCCCAGAAACTCGAGTTTATCAGGGATCACCGAGCAGAACATGCACGATTCGAAAGAACACCCTCATCATCCAAGTCCACTGACACTTGCGTGCCTTGATCCATGCGCCACCTCATCGCAAATTCAACCCGACATTCATGTAATCATCGAGAGCTTGAGGCTGTTCTTGTGGCACTACGGATACGAGCTTGTTCGTGTCAAGTGAACGTGTCGTGGAGTCGTTGGAGGGTGAAATGCGATGTCGTGAAATGTTCTGATCTTCCGCCACTACGTTAGAGAATTATTCCGCTGCTGGGTGGCCGATTTTCTCATGATGTGTCTGCGATATGCGTTCTGGTTAGCGCGAACAACTATACCGTTTCTTAGCTAGTATACCCCACTTAATTTCGCTGGAAACACGCACGCCTGACGCCCTCCTAACCAACTGTATACATTTTTCGTTCGGAGCACCCCACGCGTCGTGAATTGAAACCGTCAGCCATCTTCGTGAAGCTGAAGCAATCACCTACTCGAGCTGTAAGAAAGTAGGGAATGCCAAACCTCAGTGCACATGGACCCCCCACACTATGGAAGCCGTTGGGGTTCGACCAACAAAAATAAATATATAATGAATGTAGGGCATGTACAGCAAACCCTTCATACAGGCACTACTGCACACTCTAACACAGCTGATCTTAAGCCGCATGCTTATCCTCCTTCATTGCATCTTGTTTCACGGCTTCATCATGAAAACCGGTACAAGCTCTGGTAACCTGCCTAGTACAAGCTCGTAAGAGTGCAAGCCCGAGCCCTCACAACACATGGATGAAATGACAATATGACAATATACTTAAGGCAACCGCGAAACCAAATATTAAACAAAGGAAATACAAAGATGCTTGCACACCAAGGACACCTGAAAGTTCAAGCAGTGGCATTCCGAAATTTGAAGCGCGCACTCCTGGCAGCGTTTGGAATGACCCGCTGGTTAGCGCGGGGTTCCAAATATTAATATTCCTATCCCTCGTTTGTACAGCATTTCTCCTTCGCTCAAAACATCCGGGTATCCATTTGTTCCTATCAATGCCAACACTAACTTCTAAGTCTGTAGCACAACGTGAAGGTATCATTCCCGACTCTCTTGACCGGCCCTGTCTAGACCGATCTTTGTCGGACAACGTGTTCTACTCGTACGCACGTAGCCGGGCGCGAAGTTGCTGATTCTCTTCAACGACAGCTTGTAAGCGCGTGTTCGCCTCTTGCAGTGCAAGTTTGGTTTCTGCAAGGTCTCTCGCGTTATCCTCTTGAATTTCGCCAGCTCCCACTGCGACACCTAGTAAGTCGAAACCTCAGCCTAGCATTGTGTGCTAGAATTCACAGAACTGACCCCCAACCAGCTTGACCAGCCGCCAGAGACGCAGGATAATAAGCAAAGCGGCAAGCTCCCTTTCCTTTCCCCTCAGCACTACCTCCAGGACGAATGTGGTAATGATGATGACGCCATCGAAGAAATGCAGGCTGGCGTGAGGTGCAGGTCCGAATGGCCAATAATTCTTCCAACCGAGTGACCATATTGTGAGTGGAATTTCAAGAACGAATAGACAAGTTATGACGAGGGATATGAGCGCTGTCACGTTGAGCCAGATAGGTGCGTCTTCACCCTCTACGGGTGTGCATGTAGGTGATAAGAGAGAATAGGCCACTACAGGGAAGCTCAGCATTGGGTCAATATGGGTAAGTCATAGTATCGAGTACTCAACGGTCAGCTAAAACACACGCAGCATCTACAGCAATCTTTCGGTCATGTAAGTAACCATGGCCATGCCAGCAGAAGCAAACCGAGTACCAGTGAGATAATTAACGTATGTGTACGAGGCGATTCCAAGGTCTCTGCAGTCCATTCCTGCCACTGTTTGACTCTGCTCTCAGCTTCCCCGTCCCCATTCTCTAGATCATAATAATCTTGTCTTGGAAGCAGAGGTTCAGCTTCAGGGGGACTTGACATGGCCACGCAACAAGACCTCCGTTGAGGGTGCTTATTCTTAGATTCCGGCGCTCTTAATTAGATTTCTGGCCGGGATATGATCCCACGATGCGGCAAATGCCGAAGTGAGAAGTCACGAGGACAACGGCAGCACATATATTCATCCTCAGTGAACTAAGGAACAAATAATCCATGCACAGTCCCTTAAGTATGCTGCCCGATTGAAAGCGTTGAATGTGGATTGTTTTGGTATTTGCAAGCTGTTGTGCATGCAAGGATTAGCGTTGTGCCGAGCCTGAGTCCCACGGTATGGCGCGCTTTAGGCAGGTCACCAGCCTCTATTAAAATAGAGGCGCGCTTCAATGTCGACATGCCTTTAGGTGCTGTCGGCCTGCAGTATGATAGGTTGCCTCGTTCACCATTCTTCTGCCAGATTTACTCTCTCGAGTACTATTGGAATATCAATGTGCATGCGTACTGATATTTTCTTTATTGACACGATATCAATTGAGGATATCATATATACCTTTTTGTCTTGATGCACTCTTCATTGCCGGTTATAGCAGGCAGTCGCTATAAGTGATATTAGCGCTAGGTGTATAAAACACACTGTGCGCGGAAATTTTTCACACCCCCTCAGTTCTCTTGTTCGAGACTGAGGTGATATCCTTTTTATTCCTTGTATGCGAGTTCTGACTGTATTTACAGACCGCACGTATAGGTAAAGGAACAATAAACTTAGTTCTCTTGTTCGAGACTGAGACCGCACGTATAGCTTATTTACTTTAAGTACTGCTACTTCACTCAAGCATAAGTGAAGGTTCAAGCCCTTAGGTATATGGATAACTCTTTTCGGATCTTACAACCTGGCGCTGGACCATACTGTTCCACTTCTTCGGTTGGCGATGTGGAATAAAGATCCCCACATGGATCAACCATTTGGAGAGAAATTGGTAGTGCCATGATGTAAGTGTCACTGGAGGTCATTCTGCGAGGTTGTACACCAGCTGTTGTAAACGCGGCATTCCAAATATGGTAACCCGCTTCAGCGGTTCACTCGCAACCCAGATGTAATATAGAAAGAAATATAACTAAAATACACACAGCGCTCCAGCGCCCATATTTATACTTCTCAACAATATTCTAGGCTCTTCTATGCCCAGCGCTTACACAGGCACCTAGTAACCCCTAGAATATTCCCGGATATTCCGGTTCAGTTTCATCATGTGACTCGTATTCCAACACCAGCACACTAACGAGTTTGTTTCAGGGTTGTTTAAGCTAAAGGGCGTTCGATGCTCCTCCATTACCATTCCAAATCCTTGCAAGCCGCGATGTATGAGGCGGTGCCTTACCTGATTTTTGACCAAGCAATGCATAGATGTTCTATTCACATCGTTTGTCCCACATGTCTACAGTCTGAAATCTGGTACCACACCAGACTCCTTCCCAGTCGCTCACATGATTTCTCCGAGGTTTAGCCGCAACTTACGTTGCCCTCCGAAATCTGTCAAGCGACTGGTACAACTTGCAACACGTGATGTTCCCACGCTAAGTTGTAATGAGTTGTACATAGGTTACGGAATATAATTTTTAGTATTTATGCATGCAGTCATTGCACCCAACCCAACCCGTGGAGACTAAGGGAGCACATCCAAGGTTGTGAAGTCAATATCTGGGGGTGTGCGAAGTTTAACAGTTTATATATTACTTAGTTACCAGTCACTTGTTTGTGCCCGGTGGCATAAGTGGTGTAGCATTAGCTGAGGCTATGCAGTCTTTTTAAGTGGCACATGTTCAATTCTCACTTAGGGAAACTTTTTTTGGGCCCTCCCATGGAATAATTGTGTGAAATGGTTGTTTTCTGTACACTAAGGAATGGAGGGTATGAAAAAAAAAGTTTCCTAAGTGAGAATTGAACATGTGCCACTTAAAAACACTACATAGCCTCAGCTAATGCTATACCACTTATACCACCAGGCACAAACAAGTGACTGGTAACTAAGTAATATATAAACTGTTAAACTTCGCGCACCCCCAGATATTGACTTCATGTCAGGGCACACCCCACCTGACCCTGCACTGCGCTGCCCTACTCCGCTCCCCCGCTATCACTCCCTGTTTCTTCTTTCCCCTTTTCCTTCTTTCTTTCTATTTCCGTTCCATGGTCGACTTCCCCTTCTCTATGTATTACTACACACCTAACCCCGCTCCCCGATCGCCGTGCCTGCCGTGCGCATTCCCGCTCACAGAGTGGCACACCTCTGGGATCTCCCATGGAGATACCCAGGGGAGTGTGGCTATGTGCGGGGATGACGTGGCTCCTCCCATGTGACCCCAACCGCATGTATATAATAGCACCTGGGGTGGGAACAGAAGAAGCAGCCTTCTTCTCAACTTCCCACTTCAGGTAAGTACTGTAGCTTCCCCTTTTAATGATAATTCAACTTCCCACTTCAGACTAAGTGGTCAGGGATGCTCACCCCATAACGGGACCGCCGCTACGCATAGCCGACATCTGTCCCATCGGGTCCCTCGCACCGGGACCTCGCCGCTTTCGGAGCTGTCCCTGACACTTCACAACCTTGGATGTGCTCCCTTAGTCTCCATGGGTTGGGTTGGGTGCAATGACCACATGCATAAACTAGAGTGCTCAGCCTTGCTTCGCCAAACCTGCACAGCGTGCATGCATTAATTTAGCATAAATTTTAATCCAAAAGACTTACAATACTTTCAAGCAGATAGCATCCCAGCCCCTTCGATGTGTAAGAGCATTTTTTTGTCTACCCATCACGCTGCTTTCATCTTACAACTCCCTTCGTCATCATTCTTATGTCTTATTCATCTCCCCTCGCTGCCGTACTCGAACACTGACATGCATGAGTGTTGTACTGGAGAGAAGAAATAACCGATATAACTGAAATATGTCGGAAAAAACCGAAATCCGTGGAAATGCATTGCAACACAATGCAATGCCCAAAACGGGTAAGTGGCAATGCAACCGTGGTGTCGAACACTTGATGTTGCAATGGCTAGGTCCATGTTGCAACGGCTAGGTCCATGTTGCAGCGGCTAAGTCCGTGTTGCAATGGCTAGGTCTGTCATATCCATACAATCCTGACCTCTGCTCCAGGCTCCTGGAACTCCAAACCTGACTTCTGGAGCCCTACTTCCCTTCCGTCACCTTCTCCTTGCCGACTCCCAAGAGGTTATCCCACCTCCAGCTCCAACACCACCTTCGGTCCGACTCTGGAACATTCCGGGTCCAACCCCAACCTCGACACCTTCCAGACAAGTATGCAACACCTATGCTCCCAACTCCGGACTTCCGCTCCGGAATCCCGTTTGCGTCTCTGTCTCCGGAACCTCCGGTCTTAGCTCTGACCTCGGACTTTGACCCCACCTCCGCTTATACCCATTGTATTGGTTAGCTCATTCCATTTAATTATGTTTGCCAATATTCCGGAGTTTAACTTCCGAGTTCGGACTTTCCGGACTTACTCCGGACCTTGCAACTATTGCATTGTCCATTTCAATTCCGCTATTCTCCCTCATTCCTATTTGGGCTGCTGCTTCCTTCTATTTCAGTCAGCTAGCCATTCCCAACTCCCATCCTCCTTCCTTCCTCCTTGGGCCTTGGCCCTTCATTCCTCCTTTTGGAAACACCATTGAGTCAAACACTTGACCCTCGGTGTTGTTCCTCTTTCCATCTCCCTTTGTCTCCTTTTGTCCTACCCTTGTTCCTTTTGATTCCGGACCCCTCCTTATATACAATGTACCTAGTAACTTGTAACCTCAGTCCGAAATCGACTTGAATTCCCCCAAGAGACTTTCCCTCTGCTAGATCCGAAATTAGGGACCCCCAGGACAACCAGCAATGGCACAGCGCTCCGCATGAGTCGCTGAGGCCAAGGTCCTTCCACGCTAAGTCTCCGATTCCGCTCTGGAGTCGTCCGAATCCGCCCATTCTAACAAGGTCCATGTTGCAATATGAT